GTCAGATCAGAGCAGATAAGACAAAAGAGAGAAGTCAGATCAGAGCAGATAAGACAAAAAAAGAGAAGTCAGATCAGAGGGCAGATAAGACAAAAGAGAGAAGTCAGATCAGAGCAGATAAGACAAAGAAGAGAAGTCAGATCAGAGCAGATAAGACAAAAACGACATGTCGGATCAGAGCGGATAAGACACAAAGAGAAGTCCGACCAAGCGCAGATAAGATAATAGAAAACTTCAAAAAAGAGAAGTCAGACCAGAGCAGATAAGACAAAAGGAGAGGGGCTTAAAACTCAAACCACAGCTACCCAAGGGTGATTAGCCAGTTGCGACGAAGCCTCCCCCTCTTTCAGCTGGTACGTCCTACCTCTTATGGATCATTGGCGGGGGGGGGGGGGGGGGGGGGGGGGGGGGGGGGGGGGGGAGGGGAGGGGGGAAGAGGATGAGGGGGGGAGAGATTTGTGGCAGGCTGCCCACCGATTTCTGGTCGGAAGTGTCATTGAAGTGCGTTGGATCGATCGCGATCATCCGCGGCTGTGTGTGAGCTGGAAATGGGTTCCGTAACTAACTGTTCGGTGCGCGCTGGTAAATGAGCACGCAGCATTGAGTGGAGAGAGGGAGGATGACGGCCGTGGATGGGTATGATTACTTTGCAAGGGACTACCTTCCGAATGGAATAATTTGGGGGCATTCAGCAGTGGAGTTTGTCGTTTTGTCGCGGTGGACTTGATCGTTTTGTCCCCGCGGCCCGAAGTCGTTGATTTTGTTTTCTTGAGTTTGTCGCCAGCTCGGAGTCTTGATATCAAGGAATGATAACCCTTGGTAGATGGGAGCGAAGTGTGCAAGAATTGCCCGTGTGTGGGCGGTCCTGTGTGGCGTTGTGCGTGGGTGTGAGTGAATAGGACAGTACAGCCATGCAGGCGTGGGGTGCCTATCACGACCACCAGTATGATTCCACTTTTGTACATCGTGCCATGCCTGTAGTCGTTCAGAGACTTGGCTCTTGTGCCTAAGGGTGCCGGTTCGATTCCATGCGTGCAAGGATGGATCCAAGGGCAGAAAATACAGATTAACCACAACGGAAGCTCCTGGGAACCGAGGAGGAAATGGTCCCTCCTCTGGTGACCATGTTAAGGGAGCAGCAGCAGGTCATACGGGCCGAACAAGAGCGAAGTCTGCGAGAATTGTCTGCTTGTGGGTGCGCTCTTGTGTGTGGCTGCGAGTGAGTGAGACACTACATCCGTGCAGGGGTGGGGTGGATATCACGACCGGTATAGCTCCACTGTAGTGGGTTAAGAGCCTTTCACAGGGGGGGGGAGGAAATGAAGACAGTAGAGGGGGGGGGGGGTTTAAGAGCCTTTCACAGGGGTGGTGAAAAAATCACGATAGTAGGGGCCCTAGGGGGTGTAATGACCCGCCATGACACAGACTGAGAACAGCGCTGATTTCTGAAGTTCTGCTGGAATGGATGCCTTGCCAAGATTCCCGCATTCTGCTGTGTTCTCTAAGTCTGTATGTGTGCGTGCCTGTGGACTTGCGTGCCTGTCTGAGTGCTTGTCGGCATGAGTGTGTGTGTGACCCGCAAGGGTACTTGCTTGTTTGCCAGGCCCGTAGGGCCGGTACTTACCTGTGGCCATGGCATTGAGGGTTGCAGCAGGGAAAACACTAGCGGAGCCAGGGGCTCGCGGGGCTTAGAGCAGCGGAAAAACACTCAAGTAGCAGGTAGGCCGGTACCGCACCCAGTAGCAGTAGATGTGCCGGGTACTCGAGGTCGAGCAGAAGAAGACAAAGTTGGCATTTTTAGAGGCCCAGTAGCGGTAGGCTAGGTCTAGGCCGGTACCAGTCCATCCTGTCTGAGTCTAGAGCCTGTACGGGCAATATCAGAGTCTGCAATGATGTTTCCCTCCGAAAAGGGAGGAGGTACCGGTTGCTTGGGAGGCCGAGCGGCCTGGAAGTCACCGCCCAGGAGGCAAGCAGGCCGCTATATCAAGAGGCCGAGGCAAGAGCTCGGCCTCATTCTTCAGTGTGCAAGTTTGGCGACACGCTGCTGGAGCGCTGCCTGGTGTAGCGCTGGGTACTACAGCGCTGCTGGGAGGAAGAAGCCGGGAGCTTCCACCTTGGCTATGGTGGAGCTCTACCGGTAGGAGGAGGAGGGAGAAGGGGACCAAGGAAGAGAGTGGCGGGCTACTTACCTGGCTATGGTAGACACCATCTTCATCACCTTGTTAGGTGCTGCATCTGGAAGGCCCCAGTGGGGGTAGTGCCGCATCAAGGAA